TCAAACCACAGTAAAACCATTCACCAAAGCCACTGCCCATATGAGATAATGCGCCTTAAAGATGACTAAAATGCATAGAGATGAAAATTATGCTTTCATTGGTTCCGGTAACCCCCTGTCACACCCTCTTAACTTCAAGGTGTCCTCTTGAACTTTGGGTCTGTAAAACTAGAAAAGCTATGCTATGTGGTAATATAAACGTTTTATCCATATCTTTATCAGAATCATCAGTGCAGCCATCGCAAGTTCAGTAATTTTCAGCCATAAATTACCTGATTTCGGAGGCTCTCGGAGGGGGGTCCCAGATCTCCATAACGAAAAATATCTGGAGGGTTTTAAATATATGGCTGTTCATAGTTCCCCATACCTATCTCACATACAAAGTTTGAGTCGATTTGGCCGACCCCCATCTTCCGACTTCTGCCTGGTTTTGCCTGGTTTTCTCATGCTTCCTGACTATCATAATTGTTTTATTGGATTGTTCTACATAAATGTCATATCTCTTCCATGTTCTTTTCTTGGCAATGTACACTATGTGAATGAGGTCCTAGGAGTTACAAATATCAAGTTACAAACTTTGTTGTGTACATGTTATGTCTGTCATATCTTCTCGTAGATATATGAAGACAAGAAGCCCATGAGGATAGGATACTTCACCACCCTACAGTCCTGCCCCCCCACCCCATCCATGGGGAGGGCAGTCATCATGGCAAAGGAAGCCTTGGAGAAAGCTGGACACACGGTACATTTAAAACTGATTTTTATATGTACTGTATTTCACTTTATGTTCACGGTAGCAAAATTTCATGGTCTGTGAAAAATGGAGGTGTTCAATGAATTATATATTCACGGTGGCGACAGGTGCAAGAAAAAGTTGAGGAATTATTTGTTAACAGTTATGATTCAGTGACAGTTAAAACAGTGAACATAAAAGTACAGTGAAAAATCAGTAATTACAGTATTTTGATAGAAAAAATTGTCCTTTAGCATGTAAAAAACTGATCTCTTGTGATGATTTTGTTTCAGCTGGTTCCTTTTGATCCACCGGATGATTTGCGAGCCATTGTGGACTTGGTCACGAGGCTCATCACTGCTGACAACGGGCGCACATTCTCAACAATGTGGCTGTGAGTGTCTACAGCTGTACATGTATGCATGTACCAGACAAATATGCTATATTCTTATATTCGAAGGTATCTTAAAGAGACATAGTGACAAGTCAGCTGTGTGGAGTATCACATTTATATGTTTTTCTATTGAGTTCATATTTTTAACACAAAATTTTATATTTGCCTAAGAATGAGAAGGTCTTGTATAGCTACCCTGGAAAGAATTTTGATCTTTACTTGGTCATATCTATCATTACGTATAATCCTTAAAATAATGTTTCAGGAAAGATGAGATAATAGATGAATACCTGAAAGGGCAAATCCATCTGTGGACCATGCCTCACTATCTGCGCAAGATTCAAGCCTTCCTTCTCAAACCATTTGTAAGTAGCTACATTTACTCTCTAAGACTCCTTTGTATTCTATTATTAAATAGTGCTTTTGTGCCAGTAAATTTTTATCCAGTTATCATTTCTATGTATGATATAGCTAGGAAATTTGATCGTATGTCTTTAAAGTATTCTATTTATTTCTGCATTTGTGTTTGCTGGATGATGTAACAATCCATGCATGCTTTTTAAAGGGATATGTCTTCACACCATAGTTCTTGATGTTTCAATTGTTTTCCAGTGGCCAAGAATTGCCAAGGTTCTCTCTCACAGGCTGATTGGGTAGGTGAAGTTTAAATAGTGTAAGCTTATATACAAGCACAACATATCTTTCAGTAGCTGCTTTAGATTGGTCTACAAATGTTTGTGGCATCTAGAAAAGTGAATTAAGGAAAAATCTTATGATTAATGGTGTCAAAACATCACTGTCTTTTCATAATTTTCTCACCCTAATGTCTGAAGTTGGCTCGAGCACCACCTTGCAGAGATGGGCTTCAGATGAAAGCACAACAGAGAAAAGACTCTGGAAGACATGTGGATGACCTTCTGTTGACTTGTTAGCATGGTTTTACTTGTAATTGTTTCTCCTATTTACCTTTCAGGTCAGTCTATGACTTGTGGCAAAGGATGGCAGAGAGAGAGGTGTGTGTGTGGTTACTGTGGTTCTATTGATAATCACTGGCTATTCTTGACTGCCAGACTTTGTGTTTCTCATTTCTTATTGTGTATATAAATAAAGCCGTTATGGTATACATGAAAAAAAACAAGTACTGCATTTTGAGGAAACATTTTTTAAAACTTCTTCCAGTTTTCAGTACACAATGCACGCCCTGTTCTTTTTTCTTTAGGCATATATAGAGCAATTCCTGGACGAGTTGAAAAAGAAGGACTTGGATCTGCTTCTGTGCCCAGCATTGGGCATGCCGGCCTGCAAACCAGAACATGCTGGTAGAACACTGGGTTAGTTCAAACCATGGAATTTCAAACCTGTACAAGTGATCATCTTTGCATAACATTAAATACCACCTGATCATTGTTTCCTGTTTTTGGTGGTCTATTATTGACTCATTATCATATAGCCAGATGACATTGACCAATCAGAGGTCTCCATTGGTTTGGTATGATGCCAAAGCCTACCCAGCGGTGATTTAACCCTGGAACCAATCAGCGTCAACTGTTCTGTTCCAATGACGTAGCATGTATAAAGTGATAATCATAACTGGTGCTGGCATAATTTTTGTGTTATGTTACTTTGAAGACTTACTGAAGCCAATATTTGCAGCCACCACAGCCTACGTGACACTTTTCAACCTCCTCAACTTTCCCGCCGGAGTTGTTCCTGTTACCATGGTAACAGAGGAGGATGACAGACTGCTGGATGATTGGATTGGCTATGGAAATGACCCCATTGACAAGGTCATAAAAAAGGTATGAGAAACAACAAGTCTTCCAAATGAAAAAAAAGTAACAGAAGTGCAAGAAAACTGGTATTCAGGAATGGCCAAAGATTTTGCAGTTGAAAATACTTAACATTTAATCCTAGTCCATTGTCCTTCCTGCTTTCTAGCATTTACATACAGAATTAACAGTTGAATCACAAATCTTTAAAATGTTTTTTCCCCACAGACAACCAAAGGTGCAGTAGGCCTGCCCGTGTCTGTCCAGTGTGTGGCACTGCCGTGGCAGGAGGAGAAATGTCTCAGGCTCATGAAGGAAGTGGAGACTCTGTGTCCTGTGTGATTTGTCAGAAATTGTCCTCTACATTGTATCTCTACAGTATCATCTTGCAGTACGAAGAGATCGAAACTCTGCTTGGGCAGTTGAAAAGCGACCCTACATGATACAAAATATTATTGCAGCTACCGATAGGTAAAATAGATGATGTAACATTTCATATCTATTGATACATGTAGTTATATGGTTAGGGTGAGAGAAGAAATTGTCTAGTTGACAAGTTGGAATTATGGTGCTGTTAACTTAGCTCCTTCCTGAAAAATCTACTTTTCAATCTATACCAAGAGTTAATTATAAGGCCACAGCAAGTAAATTTTATGGATGACATCCTCAGCAGACTCCAAATCTAATGCAATAGGGTGAAAAAAAAACAAGGTGGCCTATTAAGACAAACAAGATTCCTACATATTCAAATTTTTCCAATTCAATTTTTTTATTTCCATACCAACATTACAGACATACAATATGGAATTATAATGGCGCGTGAATGGCATTGGTATTGGCATTTTGCATTATAAACCTTGTTAAGCAAGAAATTATACCTGATATTTTGGTAGCCTGGCCTGACAGGCACCCAGGTTTTTCCGTAAACCCTGTTGTTACTTTTCTTAATCCTCAGAAAATGTATGTGACTTGATGAAATAAAGATCTTGTTGATATAAATGCTTCAATGTAGTATACACTGTATATATGTACTAAAATACATCAATCCCACGGTTTTCCATGGGTGTTCTGTTCTGTCAAACAAAACGTCTAGTACAGTAAGTATTGAGGCCACAACTGCAATACTTAATACATGGAACTGATGGTGATTTCAGCACCAAGGAGAGGTCCACACTGGTAATGTACATTGACAAGGGGGGGGGGCATCCACAAGTTTGGGGATATAAACACTTGCTGTGGCAGAAGGAGTCCTGGTCGTTGGGTTTAGCACAGAAAACAAGTTCAAAATTGGTTGACGAGAATAATTACTTTTGATTGGTGGGGGAATGGTGATGGTTATTTATCAAAAGCAATAATGATTAATCTCATTGGCACCCCTATGCAATTATCACACATGGTACGGTCCGTTCGACCAGCTGCAAACTAGTGTGACCACGCTTTCGTGTGTCGTGTGTGAATTCTCTCCAACTTTTGGGGTAAATTTTCGGCTTTTTGTCCGCAAATTATCCGTCTCAAGTGTGCAAAATATCGTCTGGGCGTTTCCAGGTCGGATGTGTGCCGTTTTTTGGATGTTTCAGGGAGAAAATTCGTCAAAGTTTCCTTGCGCTGGCGGGCGAAGTTTGGAGACTGGAAACGAAAATGGCGACTACCATGTGGCGGCGTGGCGTGGTGCTGAAAAAGACAAGTTCTTGCGAGGTGAGACAAAAAACTAGCTCCTTGAATGTACATGTTTGTACATCCAACAAACCTGTAGCAACAGACCACGTTATAATTCGTTATGTTAACCGTTATACTCTGTAGAAATTTGCGTTTTGTGGAACGATATGTCGCACACATGTTGTGGGCCATTTTGTACTTGAATATTTTTAATAGGGAGGTTGTTTTCATGACTATCGTGGTTTTAGGGAACACTGAATATATTTCTTCCATGTTGAGTGGCATTGGAAAAAGCTAGGAGCAAATTTCGCTGCTAAAACTGTTACAAACACGTTTTTTTGTTGAAAATTTCCACAGTGTTGGCCCAGTGAACACCTTTTGGAACGCACCGCACGTGTGAATAATTAAACCCACTCAACGTTCCCGCCAAAAAGTCGCGTAAACAAGACTTCCCAAGGCTGAAATTAACTGGGTGCATATATTATTTACTTCTGAGCACCCAAAATTAAATCTGTGCACAAATGAAAATTCATATAGTTAAATTTTCGGTTTGTTGCTGGTTTATCTAGATTGTCTATCTAGATTGTCTTTGCAGTTTATGTTGTAGCCTTTTGAAGATTAATTTAGCTGTTGCCTCTGATTTTATAAAAAAAAATGCAAGTAGCGTTCTTTTTTTTTTTATTTACATGAGCTTTTTTTAGTGGTCTAACAACACACCGTACATACTGAACACCACTATGTGTAAAGGGAGGTTAATTGTTTTAAACAGTAGCGACTAGCAACAATCCTTTGCAAATTGGGTACAAAAGCAAAATAAATAGGGAAAGTTGTGGTTACATGAAAATAATTCAATACTGGTAAATGGCAGGGATCTCATACTTGTGGCATTTGTCAAGTGAACGTTAACATCATCAAACATATCATATTCCAATAAGTACCTCATTTCTATAGTTTCTGAGGAAATCTTAGAATAGCTGTCATTTTTTTAAATATTTATGTTTATCAAAGGAAAACAAATTGTTTTTGCTCTGTTTCCTCTTCCCTTCCACACACTGACCTGGTCAATGACCTGAACCAGACGTCTATTACCATGGTAACTAGTGTTGGGTTACATCATGTTGCAATTTATAGCAGAAGGGATTTAGACTCCTGTCTGATCATCTTACCATATAACGTTATATGAATGTAAGTAAGAATTAACAGAGCAGTACATATGTGTAGGTAAACATTATACATTTGCTTTGCAAATGTTACCTTTTAGTATTACCTTTTTTTTCATTTGGTATCAGGGTTTTTCAGGGGTCATCAAAGCTGCAAGGCGCCGAAATGAATACGATACAAAATGTTTGGAATCTTTAGTCGAGTTGTCCATACTTTTGTTCCTCATTATCATTTGCAGTGTATTATGTATAATTTAAAAGCTTGTTCGTTTTTATATCAAACTAATTACCTCCGGGTAGGGATGTATATCCCGAGCGCGGAGGTTTTGTGAGGGAAGACGAAAATTGCGTTCGCAGCCGTTTCTCGCGTTTGGGTGGACGGATATGTCTGGGACTTGGTATACGTTTTGCTGTTGGGCTGTAGATGGTGCACGTTGTTTTGGTTTTTTAGTATGTGTGTTTTAGTGCGTGAAAATGATGCGTTTAGACCGCCGATGGACACCCCTTTCAGTGTGAAAGTGGACCTCAGCTTTTGACCTTTGCATGTATAATCACCATTGAGGTCGCGACCACTGATCTGACCTTTCACACAGAGGGGTGTCAGCATTCTTTGAAACTGTTCAGATGTCAATCAACGTCTCATTATCGTGCCTGGTGGGATCGCGCGGGTCGCAGCCAGGGTCGCAGCCAGCCAACTTCCGGGTGGGCCAATGGGTCAGGGGTCAACGCCCTCTTGCGCAATTTCGGATGTTTTCGGCTTACAAATACCGTGGTATACTGTCTCAGACGTTCTCGACATGCATTTCGCGTTGGGGTAGTTGGTGTATCTTCTGTTAATGGGCTGTAGATGGTGCAGGTTTTTTTTTGTTTTATTGTATATGTGTTTTGGGGCGTAAGATTATTTGTATTTCCTTTTCGTGTCTCGGACACCCGTTACTGTGTTTGTTTACATTATCGCTGGTCGCTGAGGGTCGGGCAGCCAGATTCGCCACGGGATGCCTCCTGTCCTTTCTATTTTTGGGCTCCAGTCGGCTAGGGGGGATTAGTGATTTCACACATCATTTAGCCAATTACAAACATTTCGAAACTTTTCGAAAAAAATGGTATTCGCGCGAATTCACTAGTTAATTCAAAGAACAGTCCCAACATGCACCCAACATTCTGCAACATACATTACAATACCCGGAGGTACAAAATCTACGATTTTCCTTGTTCAATAATTGTATTAACAAAGACCCAAGTATTTGTAGCGTGAACACTACAGTTGACTACACTGGAAGGTTGAAAATGCTGTTTTCAAAACATTTTGTGCCGACTTTATATGTATTTCACATAAAGTTTCAGTTGAGGGGGTTTATTTTATTGTTGTTGCTATCAGCATTTTTTTATGGTCATTAGGTACAGTTTTAGTCGAGGTATAGGTTAGTTTTAAAGTGAAGAAATTTAATGTATGTTTTAGTCGAGGTATAGGTTAGTTTTAAAGTGAAGAAATTTAATGTATGTGTATTGCTATCGTTGAGAGTAATCATTGGTGAAGATAAGTGGTATTTGAGACAAGTGTGTAACTTCTAATGTCTGTATACTTAGGCAGCTGCTGACAAGGATTGGACCAGACCAGATGATTTGAAGACCCAAGAAGAACATCAGGTGAGAACATCCCAAATTCTGCATTTTACCTACCATTTACTTAGTATTTGAGACAAGTGTGTAACTTCTAATGTCTGTATAGTTAGGTGGCTGCTGGCTGTTGCAGTAGTGAGGACTCCTGTCTGAACCTGACAAGACAGATTGGACCAGACCAGATGATTTGAAGACCCAAGAGGAATAAGAGGTGAGAAAAATCGGAATTCTGCATTCAACGTACTATTTTACTTAATGTTATTTGACACAAGTGTGTAACATCTAATGTCTGTATAGTTAGGTGGCTGCTGACTGATGCAGCAGTGTGGACTCCTGTCTGAACCTGACAAGACTGGACCAGTTAGGTGATTTAGAGACACGAGCAAGATGACAACAACAACTTCCAGAGGTGAGACAGTGAAGATCTATTTGACGTAGCACTCTTCCATTATATCTTACATTTTATAGAAGGAGTAACACAAAACTAGCAAATCATCTTTCACATTAATTTTGTAAGTGTTGCTTTTCTTGAATGAATGAATGACTAGCATATTGCACTTTATCTTTGAATACTTGTCAACATTTCTAGGGAGAGGCAAAGTGACCATTCATACCTTGCATCAATTGTTCTTTTATATTTAGGTGTGTCCTGAGAGTCAGCAGTCCAGATGTTCCTGTCCAAACTAGGCTAGATGATGGCTCAAGAAACGAGCTGACTTCTTGAAACCTTCATTGACGCAGCTGACTTAAGTTCAGGAGACAGAGTGAAGAGCTCGCACAGGTGAGACAATGCTTTTATTATAAATTACAACTTGATTTTTGCTATGTGTTACAAGCACTGAGAGGCAAAACATACTTCTTTCAACACTGTGTACATATCGAAGCACCGGGATTGTTTAATTGCAGGATATTATGGTCACTCCATGTTGCCTGGAAATTTTTTTGGGAGACATCACGCTAATTATTCATTTTATTAGTTAGGTGTTTCCTGACGTTCCTGTCTTGGGGGCGACCTGATATTCTGTCCACACTGTATGAGGATTCAGCAAACCAGTTGACTTGAAGACACAGTGAAGAGTTTGCAGCTGTCTATGCAGGTGAGATGCATTACGACTTGCATGAATTTTTCCTTCCCTCTTTGATGTATTAAGATCCATGGCATAGCATGCCACCAGTAACAATTTTAAGAGCCTAACTTTTTGTACTTTTATTCAAGCAACTTGTTTTACAACTTACATGACTTTTTCCTCTCCTCACATGTATGTTAAGAACTCG